CCCTCCCCCTTTTCTGATGAAGGGTCTAGGCCCGAAACGTCAGCCTTCCTGCTCCTCTGATGCTGCTTGGCCTGCTGTGTTCATCCAGCTCTGCACCTTGTTATCTCAGATTCTCCAGCATCTGCAGTTCCTGCTATCTCTGAAACAAGTAAGACCTAGACAGCAGAAAAAGACGGGCGACCACCAGGAAGACTTGTAAGCATAGGCAGGCAGTGCTGGAGTCCCCAGTAGCCATCCACCTCTCAAATAGCTACACTGTGTTGGATACTGTTGGGGGGATGGTGGGGAGAGATGCCTCTTAGGAGAAAGCAGCAACATTTGCACCATAGTCTGTTGCACAGTAAGGGTGGAGAAAGACAGGGAGAGCTTTACTGATCGGGGATTTGATAATAAGGGGTACTGACAACAAATGAAAATCTTGAATGGTATGTTGCCTCCTTGGTGCCAACGTGGGGGATATCTCTGACCAGCTGCAGAGCAGTCTGAAGTGGAAGGGTGAACAGCCAGTAGTCATGGTACATGTTGGTGCCAATGATACGGGTATTAAAAAATGTGAGGTCCTGCACCAGGAATTGAGAGAGTGAGGTCATAATTAAAGAGGAAGACTACGAAGGTCAGAATCTCCGGGATACTTCCAGTGCCACGTGCTACTGAGTATAGGAATAGGACAATAGGTCAGTTGAACACGTGGCTAAAGGGATGGTTTAGGAGGGAAGGCTTTCAATTTTTGGATCATTGCGACAGGCTCTGGGCTAGGTGGGACCTGTATAAGCTGGATAGGTGCACCTGAACTGGAACAAGTCCATTATCCTTTCTAGAAGGTTTGCTCGTGATGTTGGGGAGGCTTTAAACTGATCTGGATTGACTGAGATTGCCTTAGTGTGAAAGGATAGATTGGGAGAGCACAGAATTTTTAAAGTGCATCCAGGAGAGCTTTCTTGTGTCAGTAGACAGTCCTACTAGGGATGGGGCAGTGCTAGAGCTAGTCGTAGGGAATGAAGCCAGTCAAATGGTTGAAGTTTCAGTAAGAAAGCATTTTGGGATAATGACCATAACTCTAACTTTCAAAGTCATTATGGAAAGGGATAAGGATAGTGCAGAAGTTAAGTGTCAAAACTGGGGCAAGGCTGACTTCAATGTCATTACACAAGAACTGGCAAACATTGACTGGGTGCACCTACTTGCAGTAAGTCTACATTTGGAATGTGAAAGTATTTTAAAACTATAAAGTGAGGACAAAGGGCATGCTTGTTCCTATAAGAGTGAAGGGGAGGGCAGCAAGTCCAGGGAACTCTTGATGTCAAGTGATATTGAGTATTTGATAAAGAAAAAGAATGAGGCACATGTCAGGTACAGAGCATTAAAAACAGGAGGCCCTTCAAAAATATAGCAAGCATAGGAGGTTGCTTACAAAAGAAATTAGGAGGACAAAGATGGGCCACAAAATATCTTTGGCAGATCAGTTCAAGGAAAATCCCAAGGCTTTTAATAAGTATATTAAAGTAAGAGAATTACCAGGGAAAGTGTGGGACCCATTGGAGACCAAATGGGCAAAGTGTGTGACTGGGGGCCAGATAAGCGGGTGAGGTCTTTAATGAATATTTCTCATTTGTATTCACAAAGGAGAAAGATTTTGTAGCCAATGATTTCAGTTGGGCTGGTGAGGTTCTAGAAACATATTAAGGTTAATAAAGAGGAGGTGTTTGATGTTTTAGCAAGCATGCGGGTGCATAATTCTCAAGGGCCTGATGAGATGTATCCCAGGTTGCTAGTGGAGGCAAGTGAGGAGATTACTGGGGCCCTGGTGGATACATTTAATACTTTGTGGCCACAGGTGAAATGCCAAATGACTGGAGGATGGCTAGAATGATTCTTTTGTTCGAGAAGAGCAGCAGGGATAGACCAGGTAATTACAGACCAGTTAGTCTGATGTCAGTGGTAAGGGAATTATTGGAAAAAAAAATCAGAACGACAGGATTAATCAGTACTTAGAAAGGCAAGGATTGATCAGGGATAATCAGCATGGATTTGTTAGAGGGAATGCTGTCAATTTAATTTAATTGAGCTTTTTGAAAAGATTACAAAATATATGGATGAGGGTAGTGCAGTTGATGTGATTTACATGGACTTCAGTAAGGCTTTTGATAAGATTTCCACATGTAAGACTGGTCCAAAGATAAGAGCCCATGGGATCCAAGGCAAGTTGTCAAACTGGACCCAAAGTTGGCTTGCAAACAGGAGGCAAAGGGTGATGGTGGAGGGTTGTTTTATAATTGGAAGCCTGTGATCAGCAGTGTATCACAGGGATTGGTGCTGGAACCCTTTCTGTTTGTTATGTACAATAACCGCTTGGCTGTGAATATCGAACATATAACTAGTAATTTTTCAGATGACAGGAAAATTTGTGGTGTTGTTGATAGTGAGGAGAATGGTCTCATTTTACAGTCTGATATTGATCAGCTGGTAAATTGGGCAGGACCATGGCAGATGGAACTTAATCCCAATTATTGCGAGGTGATCCATTTTAAGAGGTCTTAACATTGGTTAAGCCACAGATGAAATATAGTGTACATTTCCAGTTGCCACTCTATCAGAAGGACATGATTACATTGGAGAGAGTGCAGAGGACATTCACCGGGATATTGCCTGGGATGTAAAGTCTTATTTATGAGGACAGACTGGATGGGCTGGGTTTGTTTTCCTTGGAGTAGAGGAGGCTGATGGGGGATCTGATTGAGATATGCAGAAATACGAGAGGCATAGACAGAGTAGATTGTGAGAATACATTCCCCATGGCCAATGTGTTTAGGGTCAGAGGGTATAAGCTTAAAGTGAGGAGTAAATGACTTAGAGGAAATCTGAAGGAAAAGAAACAATCACCCATATATAGAACATGCTGCCTGAGACAGTGGTGGAGGCAAATATTTTCGCTACATTTAAGAAGCATCTGGATGAGTATTTAAAATGCCAGAGCAAGGCAGGCTATGGGCCAAGCGCAAGAAAAAAGGAAAAGTGTAGATTGATGTTTGTTTTTTGTCTTTTCATTTAATATTGGCATAGATGTGATGAAATAAAGGTGTGTGATTCTGTGACTCTATGTTTATCATAGGTACATTTATACTTAAATTGCAGGGAAAAGTGGCAGGCCTGACTGCTTTGTTTTTGACCTAAAACATTTAGATACAATAAATAAATACAAGTTAATGGATAATGAAAGAACAGAACTGTAGTGATTGGTACAAGGTCAGCCAGGATACAAGGTAAACAGGATTCTGCTCACTCTAGAAGAGGGCTCTGACTACCTGGGTTAGTGTCATATATGGTGCATGGTAAATAAAGGGTGACTTAGTGATGGGCGTCTGGCATTTGTGAAGTTATTTCAGGAACTTGATGGAATATTTTCTTACCTCTATGATCTCCAACATTTCAACTCTTGTAATTTTACCGTCACCATCTAAGTCATACATGTTGAAAGCCCAATTTAGCTTCTGTTCAAAGCTGCCTCTTGAAGTAATAGAGAGCGCACAGATAAACTCTCTGAAGTCGATCGTCCCATCACCGTTTTTATCAAAGGTTCTGAAGGCATGCTGAGCAAATTTGGATGCATCTCCATACGGGAAAAACTAGAGAAAGCGAATGCGTGCATTAATAAAGAATTCAAAACAGGATTCTTTTTCAGTTGTTATGCTTAACATACAATGGATTAGCTTCACTATAAAAGCTGATGATAACTATCTTAGGAAATTTCAGATCATCATCCTATATTGTTCATTACACCCAAGCTTCTACTCCTTTACAAAGCAGTGACTGAATGAGAAGTTCGTTAGTCTGCACTCTTTTTACTGTATCTCGATAACAGAGCAGTAGGCCCATGTAAAATTTTAACTCCAAAATATGCATTTTCGAAAGAATTCTATTATGGCCAAAACATGACTGCAGATGCAAAATCAAAGGTATTCAATTAATCTCATTCTCCTGCTTCTTTTTAGCCTCCAAGATTTTCCCTTCAATTATTTATTCATCTCTTTAGATCTGCTTCCACCTGCTATTCAGTAACTGCATTCCAGAAGGCAACAACTCTGTATGTAATACTATGTTCCCTCCTCTCGTCACCTCCAATTCCTTTGCTAAAATCTGTGTCCATTAGTTATCAACATTTTTGCCTTCAAAATGTTTTCTCCTTATTTACTGTTATGAAAACATTTCACGATTTTGGCACATGATTTTGAACACTATCAAATCTTCCCTTAACCTTCTCTGCTCTGAAGAAAGCAATCCCAGTTGCTGTAGTCCTTCTGTATCACTAAAGTCTTTTATCCTTTCAACTGGGTCCTTAAAGCTTTTCTGCACCCTCTCCCAGTTTTTGACATATTTCCATAGTTGGCCACAATATTCTAGGTGATCTCTAGCCATTGATTTAGAAAACTTAAGCATTATTTCCTCTTTTGTATACTTCTATTCATAAAGTTAGGGTCCTTTTCAATATATTGCTAAACGTGCCTTGCTCCCTTCAATTCCTGTAGGTACATGTCCAGATCTCTCTGCTCCTCTGCCCCTTTTAAAGTTGTACCACTTTGTTAATACCACCTCTTCTCATTCTTTGTAACATAAATTATCACTTTCCATTCCCAGGGTTAAATTTCACCTGCCTTTTATCATTATGTCTGTCTCCTGGCATCTGCTACTATTCTCTTCGCAGTTTGCTGCTATTCCATGTTTTGTGTAAACTGCAAATCTTGAAATTATGCCATGTATATCCGAGTCTAGGTCATAAATACATATTATAATACTTAGGCAGAACAGTTTTCAAGTTGCTGAAGTTAGCCCTCTTTGATTATTTCTTGTGCTTTTCCACTGATATTCTTGCCATGATGGTATTACAATCACTGTTTCCTAGATATTCCCACTTTCCACTTTTGTCCATCATTCTCCTGAAATGGGTCCAACACTGGGTCCTTCCTCATGAATAAGCAATGTTTTAAGGGATATGGGCCAAGGGCAGGCAGGTGGGACTAGTTTAGTTGGGGATTACGGTCGGCATGGACTGGTTAGACCGATGGGTCTGATTCCATGCAGTATGACTCTGATTATGTTAGAAACATACTGATCTAGAAAGTCTACTCGTACACTTTGTCAAGAATTTCACTTTCCCTTTGTCATCATACTATCCCAGTCTTCTGAAGTTCAGTAATTTGTCTGTAAATTTTCCGCTGTTTGTTCCTCTATTCTCGATATAAACAAGAATTAAAACACAGTGACATGGTAGCCCCTTGAACGTTTCCTAATATTAACTGAATAGATTAAAGAAGTTGGGACTGTTCTCCTTGGAGAGAAAAAGGTGAGCAGAAAATCTAGTAGAGCTTTTTCAAAATCGTGAGTGGGCTGAATAGAGTAGGCAGGGAGAAGCTGTTCCTGTTTATATGAAGAACAAGAACAATGGGACATTGATTTAACATAATCTGCAGAAGAAAGAAGGGTGAAATGAGGAAACCTTTTTTTGCTCAGTGAGTAGTTAGGGTATGGAATGCACTGCTTAATGGTGTAGTAGAAGCAGTTTCAACTGAGGCAATCATGTGGGCACTGGGTGATTATTTGGATAAAGGGTCTGGGGAAAAAGCAGAAGATTGAGCATCATTCCCTAGTGCCAATTAACAAGCAAGCACAATGGGCCAAATGGCCTCCATTTGTGATTCTGTGAAACATATTCTTCTGTGATCCCCCAACTACATTATTTAAAGAAGAATCTCCTTAGGGTGCATATTCTCAAGTTGTAAAACTGCAGTCAACAAGTGATCGGAGTGACAGCAGAAGTGTTTACTTTTTTCCAGAATCTCTCCCCCATTGTAGGATTCTTAAATTTGTAATTTTTGCATGCTTTCAGACCTGGCGCTTTTGTTTGCACCTCTAGATATATAACGACATTACACTCCCACACATCAGTTTAAATTTCAACACAGTCGTAGGACCTGTGAAATGAAGTAAATGTTCAGCACAAACACTCTTGAATAATGCTGAATAATATTTTGAACACCAGGACAGCTAAGATATGGATCATATCACACATTCTATTTCTGCATCACCTAGGACTTCAATAAGTAACAAGGTGTAGAGCTGGATGAACACAGCAGGCCAAGCAGCATCAGAGGACCCTTCAGAAGGCTGACATTTCAGGCCTAGACCCTTCTACTTATTGTAGAATTATGATTGTTAAAAAGTTATCCTTTCACAACAAAAGGTTTTTTGTGATTCTAAATCATATTGGTTTGTAAAAACGTATTTGAGGTGTGAATGGTGGTGAGCAGTGGTTTCAGTTAAATTGTTATCTGGAAGTTAGACTAGGTACTTAAATCTTCTAACTTTTCTTGGGTGACTAGCTGCAGTGGAATCCTCTGAATTCTCCGACATAAATTGATACTTTTGGAGAGTTCCAAGTGCTGGGCAATTTCACATTGGAATTTTCAATATCCTGATCAATATTTTGGAGTGCGTTACGTCGGGGATTCTACAGATTCTTGATGCACAACTCCCATCTATGCGGCAGAATCATGATCTAGTCATCAGACATTCTGGGCCATTGTTGGAAGATTTACTACTTTATTCAAAGTGCCAAACCACCTCATTGGATTGAGCTGATTTTCCACCTTCTCACCATGTTTCTGGTAAAATTGGAAATGGGCCGTTATGGTGAGAGTTCAGATTTTTAACACCATAACCTCTCACTCTATCCCAACTGGGAGATAAAATTGCTTTTTTTGTTACCAACAATGATTGCTTGACAGTACGAAACTTGAACATTGCTAAAAAGAGACTTGTAGTCAAAGCTCTTCATTTTATACCCATCAGGAATGTAATGCAAGAAAACCAACTTTAGAAAAGAAAGAATAATTCATAAAACATCAGCGTTGATTTGTTCTACTATGGTTGGCATGGAGACGCAGCAGGAACTGTCTCAGTAAACTGACTAAATTCAAACCAGGCAAATCATTAACAGTAGTTTAGTAAGAGACTGATCTAAAAATTAATTTGTGCCAATGTACTTCTCAGACTTCCTCTTTGAATACGATGATAATTATATAAAAGTAATTAAAATTTTCGGCAAATTACACTGCCAAGTTTATTCCTCTACATGCCCAACTGATTAGTTACAAATCTAACCATAGAATTCTTTACAAATTCAACTATATAGGGCATTATAATCCTAATCATGGAATGCGGTACAAGTGGTGTACCTACACTTGATGGGCTGCAGTAGTTCACAACGGTGGCTCATCAACACTTTCTCGAGTATAAAGAGGGATGAGCAACAACTGCAGCCTTGACAGTGATACACACATCTCAGGAAAGAATACAAGTCCTAACCACTGAGACCATTATAATTGTAACCATAACATTTATTATAGACTTAAACAGAGAATTCATTACAAAGATAAGCACAGAATCCATTAAAAACCTAAGTGCAGAATTCATTACAGACCTAACAATAGAGTTAATTTTACTTCCAGAACATGGAATTCATTGTGGTCCTAATCACAGAATTTGTTCTTCCCATGCAAAATAACTTTTGAATAAAACAAGTTAGGATAATATTGGCACACAGCCTACATAAGAGCACAAGTTCTTGAGACTGAACACTTTCCATCACATCAATTATTTAGAAGCCAAGAAATTAAATAATAATGTTAGGAACTCATTTATTAATGACCAAATAAAGAACTGTCATCTATTTGAAAAATAAGGCCTGAGTTATGAAATAAGTTCTTTCACTTCCAAAAAGCAACAACCTTTCCTCATCTGAACATCAAACGTAGGAAAAGAATACATTAAACGAAAAAACAAAGATTTTCCTTGGACACGTGGCTGCCCACTTTACTTGATGGGCATAGATTGCAATAGACTGTGCACAACCTCAACAATTTGGATTCCATTGGAGTTTTATCACTTCACCACTTTCAGGAGGCAACTGTTGACAGTGTTTGCTGCATTTGTGTTTGATTGATTGACTGATTGATTTATTGTTTTCACATGTACCAAGATACAGTGAAAAGTGTTGTTTTGCATGCGATACAGGCAGATTGAGCCATATAAAATGCATCAGGGTGGCATAACAGAGTTCAGAATACAGCTGCAGAGAAGGTGCAGAGAGAGACAGAGACAGAGAGATATCAGAATTAATATTTGAGAGGTCTGTTCAAAAGTCTGATATCAGCGGGGAAGAAGCTGTTCTTGAATCTATTCGTATATGTATTCAAATTTTTATATCTTCTGCTCAATGAAAGAGGGTGAAAGAGAGTATAACTGGGGTGGAAGGGGTCTTTGATTATGTTGGCTGCTTTCCCGAGGCAGCGGGAAATATAGATGAAGTCAATGGATGGTAGGCTGGCTTGTGTGATGGACTGGGCTGTGCTCACGACGTTCTGTAGTTTCTTGCAGACTTGAGAGGAGTAGTTGCCAAACCATGCTACGATGGATCCAGGTAGGATGCTTTCCACGGTGCAACTATAGAAATTGGTGAGAGTCCTTATGGACATGCTGAATTTCCTTAGCTTCCTGAGAAAGTAGAGCCATTGTTGCGCTTTCTTGACTGTCACATCAATGTGAGTGGACCAAGACAGATTGTCAGTGA